GCCAGTGCTAATTACAGAGCTTAATTAATGAACACAGACAAAGCTCCCAAGGGGACCGCTGTTCTGGCATTTCCCCGTCCCCTCTCCTACATTCCCTGCCTCTGAGGGTGGTGGGGGCACCGTCCCCAGGCATGTCCCCCCTCCCTGGATCCCGCTCCCTCTTTGTTCTCCCTAATTAGCATGAAATTACCCAGCATGCTCGTTGCTGCGGCTCCAAACCATGGAGATGGGCGACCAAAGCCCCTGACCCCCCACCTATGGGTGCTGCACTCCCACACCACCCTAAATTGCACCCAGCAGCTCCAGCCCCTCCCGGTGTGGGGCATCCCCGGCTCCAAACTGTGTGCAGGGAAACTGAGGCACGGGGGGGAAGGGAAGGCTCACAGACATTCCCCAAGCCCTGGGTGACCTGGGACAGGTGAACGGGTGTTACTCGGTGCAGGATTCGGCCGGTGCAGGTGCTGGACCCCTGGGGCTGCTGGGTGATTTGGGTACCAACAAGTGGCCCGTCCCTGCCACCCCCCACTCCTCCACCACCACAGCCCCCAAAAGGCAGCTTATTCAACCCCAAAACAGGGGCACAGGAAGCCACATAAGGGACCTGTCCACGTCACCTCACTGGGAAAGCAGTACCCCAAATCCACCCCAATTCCTCCCCACATCTCCCCAATCTCCAAGATCCCCACTCACCCCCAGCTTCTTGCTCTTCATCCTCACATAGCCCTGCTTGATGATGTCGTTAAAATTCGTCGCCATGGCGATGGCTCGATAGGGTAGGGGATATTTTGGGAGGGGGGGGCTGCCTTCACCTTCGCCCCCCCCTCTCCATCCTCTTCCTCCCTACCCCTCCTGTCTCACCACCGGCCCGGCTTGGTGCTAGCAGTGTCCCCCATGCTGGCTGGAAAAGAGAAATGACAGATCGACGGGTGACATCTTCCTCGTCCTCCTCCCCCTCCTCCTTGTCGTCCTCCTCCTCCTTCTTCCCCTCCTCCTCCTCCTCCTCCTCTTCCTCCTCCCTTCGCTGCCTGAACCATCGAGTGGAACAGTCCGGTGTTAACCCCTGCCAGCACGGTGGAGCCAGGGTGGCACAGACAAGTGGTCAGTCCCCTGCCGCCAGCTCCAACACGTGTCCTGGGGGACACCCGCAGCAGACCTCGCCCACAGGTCTCCATCACCTCCTCCTTCCTCCCAGGCTGCTCGCTTGGGCAGCAACATGGCCCCGGCCCTTGGGCACGGGCTGGGTTCAGCGGGAACGGCCAGGCCGGCTCTGCTCCGGGGTGTTTCAGCCGGCACCGGCTGCCAGAGGGACCCCGGCTTCCAACCTCGCAGCCCCGCAGTCACCCAGCCTCTCTCCGGCCCTCCCACGACCTCGGCCTCGCTCAGCCTCGTCCCTGCTGGTTCCCCCGGCCCCCACCGGTGGGACCAGGTGGGGACCAGGTTCCTTTCCCAGGTGGAGAAGTCCCAGGTAGGAGGCAGTAACCCAGGAAACAGAACAGGGCCATCCCCGGGGATGTTCCTCCATGCCAGCGACACCCCGGTCCCCAGAGCCCAGCACCGCGGGGAATCGCGCTGGGACAGCGCCTTGGGGACCGCCCGCTGTCCGAGGGGCAGCGCTCCCTGTGAGGGGAATATCCCCCACTCCCCATGCCCATCACCCACCCACGCACACGAACACCCCAAGGGAACTCAGAGCTGCCGGGGGGCACCTCCTGCCCGCTACCCCCGAGCTGTCACCGCGGCCCCCCGACCCCCAACCACCATCACACCCCGCTCTCCCACCGGGACGTCCCTCCGGGCGTTGTCACCTCCCGGCCGTTCGCCCCCGACACTTGTCAGCCCAAAGCTCGCTCAAGCCCCGTCCTGTGTCACCCGTTTCCCCGCCGGTCCCCCCGCCTTACCCGGCTCCCGGTGCGAGCGGAGCCGCCGGAGCCGCCGCGTCCTGCGAGCCCCGGAGCCGCTCGGTCCCGCCCCGCCCGGCCCCGCCCCGGTACCCTCCCTCCTCCCCGGTACCCTCCCTCCACCCCGGGCTGCCCAACCGGAGCCACAACCGGCCGCCCTGCGAAGAGAATTCCATCATTCGGCTTCAGAGCGAGCACCCCGCAGCGACGGGCGGCGGCGGCAGCAGCCTCCTGTCCGTCCCTCGGCTCAGGTGTCACCGCATCCCCGCGCTGTGCCCCCCAAACTGGTCTCCAGGCCCCTCGCTAAAACTGGCCCCAGGCAGCCCCCACCCCCGCGGCCTCACTTGTTGGGCTATAAAAATATGAATAATCGCTGGAAATAAAAGGGCATTAAAAAAAAAACCATGAGCAGCAAAGAGCTGCGCTTTTAGCCAATCAATTAAAAGGCAGAGCGAGGGGATTAGCTCACCGAAATATTAATTTTTAATGAGGTTGTGTCTGAGCGCCTCCAAAGCCCCCAAGGCCCTGCGCTGGGGGCTGGGCTGAAGGGGCTGTGCTGGGGGATCAGCACCCTCAGGTGAGCACCTCTGGGTGAACACCTTTCACTGCACAGGCCCAGGGACAGGCTTTACCCCCGCACTGGGCTGGTCTCCAGGCATGGGGACAGGGATGCCAGGGGGTGACATCCTGGTCTGTGAGTGCCTGGCGAAGAAATGCCGATTCTCCCTGATTTGTCCCATCCCCACCCTCGCTCCTGTGTGGGGACAGACCAGCAGCTCACACCACCACCAGAGCCTGCGCCCATCTGGGCTCTGTATTTATAATAAAAAATCATATACAAATACATACATATATATAATATATATAAAAAGAAGTGGGCAGTTTGTGGCTGCCAAGCTTGGTGCTTCTCTTTGCCTGTGCCTCCTCCTCCTGGGCTGCTCAGTGATGCTGGCTTTAGTGGCCACATCAGTGTTCCAGGAGATGCCAGTGGCCCAAGGGGCATCCAGTACTGTCCAAGAAGCAGCAGGTTTTAGAGCACCCGGGGCAAATTTCTCCCCACCGCTCCGTGCCTCAGTTTCCCCATCTATACAAGTATCACCGCACAGCTGGGCCCCGTGGCGAGATGCACTTGAAGGCAGAGGACTGATGTGGCACGTCCTGCGGTGGTGGCACTGGCCCTGGGCTCTAGGGCACCTGTATCTGCAGGTCCTCGTCCTCGTCGGGGTCACTGGTGCCGTCCCCGGCGTCGTCGGGGCCGAAGCGGGCGCTGCGCATCTTGCCGAACAGCGGGGCGCTCTGCTGGCGCCGCAGCCTGCGAGGGACAGCTGCTGACATCGGGGTGGCAGCACGGCCCTGGGGGGGCCCTGAGGCTGAGCCCATTCCCCTGCACCCCTAGAGGATGACTGCACCCCAGAGAGATTCCTTCCTGCAGCCCTCACCGAGCTCTGGGCGCAGGATGAGCCCGCGCAGCCCGGGGCCAGCCCGGAGCTGGGAGCTGTGATGGTGCTCGGCACAAGTGGGGCACAGGCTAAGCCCCTCCGTGGCTGTGCTGGGCACCACAGACCCAGACAGGACTGCAGAGAAGGGAGGTGTCATCCCCCTAAACTGAGGAACCCTCAAAACCCCCAGGAGTCCCCATTGCCAGGAACGTGTGGTGGTTTTGGTTCTTGCCCTTGTGTGAAAATTCATCAAGGAAATTTTATGACCCAAATTTGAAATCCAAAGGCCAAGGATCCAGTGAGATCCAACCAGTCCACCACACTTTACTGGAAAGCATGAATTATTTAGGATTGAGTGCACAGGGAGTCTGGGAGGGGGGCGATGAATCCTCCATTATGCTTCCATGATTTAATGCAGATGTCCCAATAAAATAAAGGATGATTATAAACATCCCCCCCGAGCACCTCCTGGAGCCACAGCATCGATCCCATGGCCATTTCAGCTCTTCACTGCTGGAGAGGCAAAGCAGGGCCGGGGAAAGTTTTAAGGGCAAGAAAACTCAGCTCCCACCTCCCCAAACTGGTGTGGGATGCTAGCAGCCTGCTCTGCCCGTGGGTACTAGTGGGTGCAACATTAAGCTGCATAACACTGAGCTGTGCTGGTCTCTGGGCAGCCTCGTGCTGGTTTAACTGGGAGGTGAATGCCACCCAGCTCAAGGTGGGGTGAAGACTGCTCAGAGGAGGCTGCGCCCCTCCCGAGGATGTCAGAGGCACTTGGGCCATGCTTAGCCCGGCGTTCAACCAGGCAGCTGCCGGCTGAGGGATGGTGGCAAGGAGAACATCATCCCATCCTGGCTGGTCCCCACGTGGCTCACCCGGCCCCTGCTCACCGTGACTGCAGATGCTCCAGCTGCACCTGGAAGCTCTCGCTCTGCTCCGTCTGCTCGTCCAGCGACCGCTGCAGCTTCCGCGTCTGGTTGTGGGCCTCATCCAGCTGTGGGATGGGATGGGATGGGATGGGATGGGATGGGGTGGGGTGGGATGGGGTGGATAGGATGGTGCTGTTGGCAGCTGTGTAGGGAGCAGAAGAGCTCCCTGACCTCCTCCACCAGCATGAGCTTTCCCACCTCATCCTCAGCTTGGGCCAGCTCCTTCTTCAGCTCCTCCACCCTCAGGCGCAGCTTCTTCACCTCTCCCTCATGCTGCTCCACGCGGCGATTGGCATGGGCCAGCTCGGCCATCTTCTCCTGGTACTGCTTCTTCAGCTTGGTGTGGATGTGCTTCAGGTCGGCCAGCTCCTGTGGTGGGCATGGGGAGGGGGCTGAGCATGGGACAGCCACCCCCACCACTGGGTGTCCCCTCCTCCCTCCCCAGGAATCTCTCCCATTGCCCCACCCCATGACCCAGGAGCTGATGGGGTCACCACCATCCCTTGAAGGGTGATGGCAAAATTTGGGCTTGAGGGAGTCCTTGGGGAGGCTGAGCCCCACAACAGAGTCACCCAGGGATGCAGGGTGACATCACCACCCCTTTGGCACCTTGTTCTTCTCGAAGAGCTCAGCCTGGATGGTTTTGAGGTCAGTGTCCAGGGCACTGGCTGTCTGGCGCCGCTTGCGAGCCAGCACCTCCTCCAGGTCCTCGATCTGTGCCCGCAGCTTCTTGTTCTCCCGCTCCAGGTTGAGCTTCTCCGTCTCCAGCCGCTCCCGCCGGCCCCACTCGGCCGCGTTCTCTGCCTGCAGCCGCTCCATCTGGGACAGGGGCACGGGGTGGCTGGGGGGCAGCAGGACCCCCCTCTCTGCCCCCCTTGCTCCCCGTGCTGGGGTTTGGCCTCACCTCTGCACGCAGCTCAGCCAGCTTCTTGTCCATGCTGGAGCGAGCACCCAGCTCATCCTCCAGGTCCTCGGAGATGCGCCCCAGCTCGTCCTGATGAATTTCCTTCAGGATGTTGAGCTGTGGGGGGACACAGCACCAAACGGGGCTGTGAACGCCCACCTTCCACCTGAGCCCTGCCCACACACATCCACCCAACCTCTATGGATAGACCCAATGCATCAATAGCATTGAAGACCCTTAACAAGCAACCTGGAGTTGGGGAAGTGGCTGTGGGCCACCATGTCCATCAGGATGTGCCACCCTGTGAGGGACAGGCCACCCCTGGGGCACCTCGCTCACCTGCTTCATCACCTCCTGCTTGTTCTTGTTGAGCTCCTCATACTTGATCTTCCACTGGCTGAGCTCGCCCTCCAGCTTCTCGATGTTCTTGCTGAGCGCCAGCTTGTCCCTGGGGAGAGGCAATGACAGTGACAGACTGCAGGACCCCATGGTGATGCCATCCCAGTGGGGACCAGGCTGGCATCAGCTGGCACTCTCAAGGATGATGCCCCAAGCACTCACTCCCGCTCCTTGAGCAGCACTTTTTGGGACTCATCCAGCCTGAGCTTCAGGGCGGTGACTTTGGTGGCGTCCTCCTCCACGACGCTGACGTCCTCCCAGAGCAGGCGGCTCCGCTCCTGGCGGCTGAAGGAGGCCCGGGGGCCCCGCTGCTCCCAGCTCTCGTCCTGCTTGCTCGTCAAGATGTTTTCCATCAGCTCCAGCTCCTGTGGCGCCGTGGGTGGCCCAGCACAGGGGACAGGGTGAGAGGCTTCCCAGCCCCTGCAGCACCCAGCCCTCGCCCCATCACCAAGAGCACCTCTCCCTCCATCCCCCAGGGATCCCCTGCCTGATGAAGAGGGAGTTGCCCTCCCAGGGGAGCTCCCACACATCATCACACTCTGCTGCTGGCTCCCTGCCATGCTGGAAATTTGGTATCAAAAAATTTAAAACCAATTTATGACACCGATCTCACCCAGGACTGCCACATGAGTGACCTTCTACCAGGCCCTCTGGGCACACAGTAAATGAGCTGCAGGGGGTGCCAGGGGACAGGATGTCCCTAGGGACCAAGTGTGGAGCCTGTGGGGAATGCCCACATTAGTCTCAGACTTGTCACTTGGCAGCTGTGCTGTCAGGTGGACTAAACTGTCACAGCATGGCACTGTGAGCAGTGCCTTCTGTGCTGTGACAGAGCTAACAGCAGCAGAGGAGGGATGGCTGCAGCAGCTGGGATAATCCCTGAGGTGGCTATGGTGTGGCACCCCCCTTCCTCCTCCTCCTTCTCCTTTCTTCAGCAAAAAACCCTGCCAGAAGCCCATATGGACACCCTGACAATCAAGCCGTGGCTGGGAGATGCCACCAGCACTGCCAATGCCACCATCCCCTGTACTGGCACAGTGAATTTTGCCTAGTGGCTCCAAAGGAAAAACCCCGGGAAAGGGGCTGGTGCCAGTGCCAAGGTGATCTCACTGCATGGGGCTATGGTGGCTCTGGATCTCCTCATGACACTGCTCTGAGGAGTCTGATCCTTCCAGTGCTGTTCCAACAGGGATCTGACTGTCCTGTAATGCTCCAAGAGGGGTCTGAGCCCAAAATGCTGCTTGGAGGGGTCTGACATCCCCCATACTAATGCAAGAGGGGTCTGACCACCCTGTACTGCTGAGAGGGCTCTGGCCCTCCCAACCCTGCCCCAAGAGCAGTCCCCCCACACTGCCCATCTTTACAGGACAGGCAGTGGCGGTTTGGGGGTGCACATGGGCAGCAGACGAGGATGAGGAGCTCCCCTGCTCCCTGCCCCTGCTCGCCGGGGGCAGCCCCACACGCCCACCTTGGCTTTTGGGGGCACCTCAGCCCCCACATCCCGCACAGGCTCTTCTTGCTCAGGGCCGGCGTCTCCCTCTGCTCCGTCGGCGGGCGGGCTGCCGGCGCTGGCCGGTGCCGGTGCCGGTGCCGGTGCCCGCGGCGGGGCCGGGCGCTCGTCGGGCCGCTCGCGGTCGCGGTCGCGGCGCAGGCTGGCCAGCTCCTTGGTGAGCGCCTCCAGCCGGTGCCGCAGCTGCCGCACCTCCTCCCGAGCCCGGTTGCGCTCGGCTCGCACCTTGCTCCACTTCTCACGCCAGTTGGCCGTGCAGTCCGACCACCAGCGCATCGTCTTCTCCATCTGCGCCGCCCGCGCCCGCGCCTCCTCCAGCTCCCGCAGCCGCAGCTCCTCCCGCCCTTCCCAGTCCCCTTCCAGCAAGGCCGGCGGGGGCCCGGGCGAGGGTGTCCCGCTGGGGGGGGACGGGGAGGGCTCGGGGGCCAGCAGGGCCAGGAGGGAGCCCCCCGGCAGCGGCGGGGAGCCGGCCAGGCGCGACGCCCCGCTTTGGCTCATGGCGGGGCTCCCCTAGGGCATGGCCGTCCGTCACCGCGCTGCACCCAGGGACCTGCGGGAGACACGAGGGGTCAGCTGGGGACGGCGGCGGGCGGCTGGAGGGAAGGGATAGCATGGGCATGGCTCCTGGTTTTGGGGAGCGGCACACCGAGTGATGAGATCCCTGGGATGGACCCTAGCCAGGCCCTCAGTGAGGGCTCTGGCAATGTCCCCAGCCAGGTCCCCAGCTGGCAGTCAAGTGGTGTCCCCAGCCAGATCCCCAGTGAAGACACCAGTGAGGTCCTCAATGAGGACCACAGCCCTCAGCCCAGCCACTGGTATCTATTTCAGCTTGGCTCTGCAGGCACCTCTAGCAGCGCACCACAACGACGGGAAGACATCGACATGTTATTCGCATGATGTCATCCGCATGAGGTCATTGATGACATCATCATCTGCGAGCCTCCAAGACCATCCCTGGTGCTGGAGTTGGGGTACTCAGCTGCACCCCAGCAGCTCCAGCGAGGGTGACAGCCAGGATCCGGCGCCAGCAAAGCAGGAACAGCTCCGGAAGGAGAGCCGGAGCTGGGTTGGCGTGGCGCGGCAGCAGGACTGTGTCCAGGCAGCTGGATGTGCTCGCGCCGGAGCTGCTGGGTTGGCGTGGCGCGGCAGCAGGACTGTGTCCAGGCAGCTGGATGTGCTCGCTGATGATGCCGCAACAAAGGGCCGGTGCTGAGTGTCCCCATCCCGGCATGGACCTCACATCCCGGCATGGACCTCACATCCCGTCCTGGATCTCACACCCGGTGCGGCCAGGCAGGCAAACCGCCCCAGGAAACCTCAATGGGAGGCTGCTGCGCGTCCTAATGGGATAAGTACAGGGTCCAGCCGCGGCTGCCCGCAGCCCCGGCAGGTTTCTGGGGCGGTGCAGCCCAGACCTGCTACCAAATCCGGCTGGGCTGGGAGAGCCAGTGCTGGAGCAGCGGGAACAGAGGCCGATGGCAGTTCTGGGATTTGCATGGCAGAAAGAACTAAATTTTCTGGTGGTATTTGCTGAAATGGTGAAGTTTTGCTAAAACTCAGCAGCAAGGCCAGGCCCGTGCTCTGTTGGCTGCTCCTGGAGGAATCCCAGGCATTGGCAGGACCCGGCACAAGCAGCGCCCACGGGAGCACAGACGCTGCACCAGCACCCACGGAAAACCCACGGAACGCATGCAGAGAACCGACAACCATGCAGCACCCACGGGGAGCACGAGTGGACCCAGGCACCTCTGGAACATCCACGGGGAGCACGTGTGGAACAGGAACATCCATGGGACACCGGCGGGAAGCGCGCGTGGGGCACCGGCACGGGAGGATCGCGCCCCCTCCCCACGGGCCGCCCCCGCTCTCCGCATTGGCGCCGGGCTCCGCCACTCACCCGCCGCGGCCCGGGCGGCGGGAGCCCCGCATTCCTCCGCTCCGCCGGAATTCCTGCCGCCGCGCCCGGGGGCCGGTCCCGGGCCGCGCTGCGCGTCCTGCCCCGTGGCACGGCCGGGGGGCCGCACGCGTGCGGTTCCGGTGCTCGGGGAATGCGGGCTGCCCTGCTCAGCACGCCGGGGCTGGCGGCTCGGACACGCGTGTGCTCGGCTGGGACCGTGCCCGTGGCTGCGGCTGGGCTGCGCACACGGCTCTGCCCCGGGGCGTGGGGACATGCGGGGGACGCAGCGGGGCCCCCCGGGGGAGCGGTGGCCGCGCAGTGTCTGCACCCCCCACACATGCCCCTGCTGGCTTCCTCCTGGCCAAGCGGCAAACCCCCAAACCACCATTTTACCCCGGCTCTTTCCCTTTGCTGGGTGTCTTTCAGACAAAAAACTGGGAAATGCTAGCGGCCAAGAGGGTTTGTGCTCCGCGGGACGTGGAGTCGATGCCACGGGACACCAACAACTTTTTCTCCCCCAGGATGGAGCGAGGCAGGGAAAACCAAATCAAATTAAAGCAAAACTTCTTTCCAAGATCGGATTTTTTTTTCCAGCTGGAAACAACCCCAAAAAGCTGGAGGCGAGGGATGCTTTCCTCTCCTACGCCCCTATCCCAGCGTCTTGTGCCAGGGAAACCGGCGCCGTCTCTCGCAGCCGGTGAAGCGATTTTGCAGGCGGTTTGGCCAGAGCTGCGGGTGCGTGGTTGCGGCTTTAACCCGCTCCCGGCTCTAAAACCGGCAGTTTTTTTCCAAGCGTGTCTTTACTGTTTGCTTGGACGTGCGTGTCTTGGTGACACCAGCAGGCTCGAGGGTGCATTGCAGCATCCTGGGATTTGTGGGGTTTACCCTTGCAAAAATCAAACCGCCTTGGTCTGGGGTTTGTCACCGAAAGATGTGGCCAGTGACCCACTTCTGTGGTCTAAGCATCATCATCCTGGCGCCCTTCTCCTCTAGCTCTGGGTTTCCAGCCTGGCCATGGCCAGCAGGCCCTCAAATCTGTTCCCAAGCAGCTCCCATTTGGGATAGGTCAGACTGAAGCAGATGGTTGCCCTAGGTCATGAACTGAGACCCAGAAATGTTGCACGAGTGGCTGCAGGTGCTGGGCAAGCACAACGTGGCACTGCTGCCCCACAAGGAGCACTGGTGTGGCTGAGTCACCCCTGCTCCCCACAACTGCACATGGCCACATCCCTGCAGCTGGACCCAGCAGCCAAGATGAAGCACAAAGTGAAGCCTTTTGGGGCAAACCTAACCATTTTGGGTAAAAAAAGACCTTTGTTCCCTCAGCTAGGCCAGCTGGCATTGCTGGAGAGCTGTGCTGTGGTGACTGGGGGTGTCATGGGGTGTGCTGGCTCCATCCTGGCAAGAGCATCCAACTGTGGTATCACAGGATCAGGCTATCTTGAGTTCAAAGGCACACAACGACACACTGAGTCCAACTCCCTGCTCCTTGCAGGACAACCTGGAAACAAACTGTATGACTGAGAACGTCATCCAGACACTCCTTAACTCTGGCAGGCTTGGTGCCATGACCTCTTCTCTGGGCAGCCTCTCCCTGTATCTGACCACCTTCCCAGTGAAAAGCCTTTTCCTAATGTCCAAACGAAACTGCCCCTGAAGCAACTTCATTCCACCTCCTGTGTCCTTTCACAGAGAGTAGAGATCAGCACCCCGTGCACCCCAGGAATCCCTGGCACACCGCATTTCCCAGGCAGGCTGGGCACAGCACACACTGCAGACACGGCGAGGATGCCAGGCACAGCTTGCACCGCGGGCATCCCGGACAGTCTGAGCACCCTGACGCTCTGGGCACAGCACTGGGGCTAAAAGCAGAATCTCCGGGCGGTGGGAGCTGCTGCTGGGGGCCTGGGTGCTGTCTCCCGGGGACCACGGCTGCCCCCCTGCCCTTGGTCGGTGTTAGCGACCAGCGCTGGCCGCTGCTTCTCTAGTAGCGCGTTTGGATTGCTCGTGTGGGGCTGATCCGCTGCCGGCTGAGCCGGCGCCTCTGGCCGGGGTCTGCTCCGCTCGGACACCCGCCGTGTGGTTGGTGCAGGTCCCACTAGATGGCACAAGGACCGCAGGAATGGTCCCACATCGGGAATATGCTCGAGCGGGGCCGGCCGGTGGCGGTGAGCGGTGCCGAATTGTCCCCTGATCAAAGGGAGGAGCTGCCACTGCGCGTCTCACAAGGCACGGCCGAAAGCGGGGGGTCTCCGGCTACATCCCCCAAATCCGTTTGGTGCCAGCACGGCTGCAGGCTGGCAGGAGTGGCTGTACGGCTGTGGCATCCCTGAACCACCCCGACCCTGGGTTTTCACCCACGACAGCATCACGCTAGAAGCCCTTCCTCTCGCCCCAGATCCAGCGCTGGGGTGGAGGAAAATAGTGAGCAGGGCTTTGTCTTGGCATCGGGCAGACGAGTTTGGGTGGAGGAGAGGATGGGAAGTGAGTAAGTGATACTCGGCTTTCCTCCCGCTCTCACTGAGGAAGGCAGAGCCAAGGAGAGCTCCTCAAGTTCACCAAACACTTTCGGAGTTGAAGCAATCCCTGTGGAAATAAATAGCCAGGACAAATTGCAAGGACTAAATCCATCAGTTGGCAGCAGCGAGCCGGTCCTGAGCCCGTGGTGCATCCGCATAAACCAGACATCACCTGGAAATGTTACCGGGGTTTTTTTCTCCTGATGCCTGAGGTTTTGGAGCTGGACTTCCCACTCTGCCTGCTGGAATGCAGACCAGCAGCGCAGCATGGCAAATCCGCCTGTGGTGACATCAGGGTGCCCCCTCACCTGCAGGGCGAGCCAGGGAGGTGCCATTAGCGGGTGCTGCCCGTTTCTGGCCCGGTGGCAGGGCACCGAGCACCGCCGGACACGCTGCCCATCTCCGTGAGTGACGTTTCCCTTTCTGGCTCCTTCCCGCTTCTGGACAGCGAAGGAAGCCTCTGGCTGTTCTTTGTTCCAGGCACAAAGGGCAGCCGCGTTCCCGTCAGTGCCGGACAAAGGCCGGTCCCGCCGGGGCTCTGTGCCCTCCCCGCAGCCCGCCGTGCCCCCGGCTCACATGCGATGAGCTGTGCATGGCTCACCGCTCCGGCGGTGACTTCAGCCGTTCACTGCGAGCCCTGCGGGTTTGGTGAGGTGCCAAGTGCCCGACTTTCCCCCACGAGCCCCACCGTGCGAGAGTCACATCCCAGCGCTTTCCGTGCCTTCTCCCCATCTCCAGATTTCGGGGTTTGTGGTGTGAGTCACTCTGGCTGCCACGCATCCACCTTGCTCCGGTATCCGGTGCTGCTTGGAAAACAATCACTCGGTGATTGCCTCCTGGCAGCGGGAACACAGCATCCCTGGGTGGTCCCCAGGGAGCTGCACCTTCTGGGACTGGTGGGACATGCTGGTTCTTGGGTAGCTGAGCCCACTGCTGGTGCCCAGGGCTCACCTTTTTCCCACCCTGCCACAGGAGCAGGGTTGGAGCACTCCCCAGAACCCTGGGGAGCACGGATAGAGCCTCCCACCCCCCCAGTGCCACGGTGCCAGGGCTGGCTCCATCCAGCCCCTGGGCATGGGCAGGAGGGGGCCTGGCCCCTCTAATCTTCTCAAGGAGAAATGGTGCCATTTACCTTTCAGGCTGCTGGAGGGGTTGTGCCATCCTTTTCTCCCCAGGAGAGGAGGGTTGGTGGCAGCATGGTGCCTTCAGGCTTCAGAGCCACCCTTGGCTCCAGGAGCAAAGCTGTGGAATTATAGAAAATGCTACCGATTTTGGGGGGAAAAGCAGCCAGGAAAACCACTAAATCCACGTGGAAAATTGAAGGTTTGGAAAAGACCTTGTCTCCATTTTGGGATCTGCTTTTGGGACTTGTCTGTTGGGAGCTGACGAGCCCAGTTACTGCATCCCATGGGAGCATCCTCACCTGGTGCTTGTGCAGACACCCCCAAGGACCAATTTTCCCCCAGACTTCCCTGACATCACCAGGGGTTTATTTGCAAAGCCGAGCCTAAACAAATAATCCGTGTTTGTTGCTGTGCCTACGGGTTCGGGTTTTACTGCCCTGGCACCTGTTATGTCGCTGTTATCGTTGAGGGAGAAATCCCGACGTGGGGTGGGGTGGACCCACCTCCCCACCGGATGTTTTTCCAGGAGGAAGGCTCAGGGAGGTGGAGCAGCAGCAGGGGGGGAGCACGAGCACCCGCAGCCGCTCAAAGGTAGCTGAGGCACTCCCTAGGATCACCACCCTCCGAGACTCCCAAGGCTGTCCTGGCATTGCCCACCAGATTCGGATAAGAGATCTAGGGCCATTCCCTCCCACCAGCCCCCTTCTGCTTCCTCATCCTCATCCTCCTCCATCCGCCGGAGCTGGGCTGAGCCCTGGTTATGGTGGCATTTTGCTGGGAACACCCAAGAGGCTTTGAGGGGGTCTGGGCACCCTGGCACGGCTGGGCAGTGGGGCTGGCAGCTCTTGGCAGTGGGGCTGGCAGCTCTTGGCAGTGGGGCTGGCACAGCCCTCGGCTGCAGACGGCGCCAGGGCTCCCCTGCCCACGCTTTGTCTCCCTCGCTTGGCAGCAGCCCGGTGCGACGTGCCCTCTCCTGCCGCGCCGCCGCGATCTGCCGGCACGCTCCCTCCCTCCCGCCCGCCGCAGGAGCCTTCAGGAGCTTTTAGGAACATTTAGGGCTTTTAGAGGATTTTGGAAGTCTTAGGGTTCTTTTGGAGCTTTTAGGAAATTGAAGGGGTTTTAGGAACTTGAGGGCTTTTTGGGAACTTGTGGGGCTTTTAGGAGCTTTTAAGAGGTTTAGACACTCTTAGGGCTTTTAGTAATTTTTAGGGCTTTTAGGAACTTCAAGGATATTCAGGAACTTTTAGGGCTTATCGGGTTTTAGGGCATTTGGGATGTTGTAGGGTTTTCGGGATATTTTAGGGCTTTAGGAGCTTTCAGGGCTTTCAGGATCTTTTAGGACTTTCGGGAATTTTAAGCATATTTAGGCGCTTTAATGGATTTAGGAGCTCTTAGGACTCTTAAGAAGTTGTAGGGCTTCCATAGGAAT